TTTGTTGGTTTTGTTCTCTGATATCGTGCTAGCGTGGCTCTGAGCTCCTATTTGGCTGCACATGTAACAAGCTCTCACCCGTTGGAAATTTTAAGACGTCTCCGGCCTATTAACCCTGATTTTGTTTATCTCAGTATTATTCTCACTGACCGCAATAGCGCCAAGCCAAGAAAAAACTTCTCCGCACGTATTCTTTACGATGTCACGCTGCGCTGCTTCTTTTTTGCGTTGCGTGACATTCCAAAGAGCTACCGCGTAGGATTCAAAGAACATAACACACTGATACTTTCTTATTAGTGCCAGCCCAAACAAGGCGTATGACCTCAAGCTAGGCGATAAAGATGTGTCTGTGTACTGTTCCATGAGTGGGGAGCTTGGAGACTGCGGTGGTGGGGGATGGACACTGGTCATGAAGACTGACGGTGCAAAGGTATTTCAAACATGTTCAAGGTTTCAAAACCCTACCAGCTCATTGTTTTTCGAATGTAACGAATGGAAACTTTGATTCGTTTCTCTCACTCCTGTTCGTTTCCCATTGTCTCTCTTAAATCAGTGAATGTTTTATGGAGCACATTAAAGGTCTTCGCTCAACCAGGATGCAATGCGGGCGTAGTGAACATTCTCAGTATTTTCTGTATAATAATCTACTTGCCCTTCTAATTGGCTGAAAACAAATGCATTTTCATGTAACACGAGTGCAAAGTTGTAACAGCAATGCAAATTACAAATAGCGCGTGCACGCTTTGAAAGTTCGTCTGTCTTGACTTCTGTGATGTTCTTTTTCATGTACTTTATTAAAAGCAGTAACATGGTTTCTCATGCTTTCGTGATAAGCACTTGAAAATTTTTCAAAGACTACAAATTTCACTTGACCTGCGGGCTCGTGCAATTTTCTTGTCTTTGAAAAATTTCCTCGTGCTTACCAATACCAAATTGCACTCCAAATCATTTTATCATCTGTACTTACAGAAAAGGAAAGTCTACCGTGTGTGTGATATTATTCGACTAACACTATGCAACCATGATCGAGAACCGGCTTTTAATACCCTCGTCTAGTTTCGTCAAGTGTCTATAGTCTATTTTCTATATATATTTTTGTCGTTTGATTCCGCGTTTGCGAAAATGAAGCCATCGAAAAGAGGCCGTCCTGCACAATGGAAAGCCACCATATTATATGGTTTGTTAGATCAATTCTAAAAGCCTTGGGATAAGTGACGAATTTATTCGAAGAAGGCGAAGCACTTCTTTTACGAATCCTTTCTTTGCGTCTTGTGAATGGCGTTTCACCGACACGAATAAATGTATTTTAGAATTCGAAGGTCTCCGTCTCTTTGTAATACAATTCGACGTCAAGGATCGAGTCCCTGTTAAATCTCTTGCTTTTGTACACTTTTGTCAAGTATATAACTTCTGAGTCTGATATTTCAGCCGCGAATAGTGATTGTAACGTGGCAAGAGAATATGTATTGTCTTGATCGTGGCTCAAAGTAGGTGTTTGGCCGTCTTACAAATTCTTCAATTTTGCCTTTGGCTCTGTCCTACAGACCGGAAACGTCGTCCATTATGAGCGATTTAGTTTAGTTTTTCAGTGTCGTAAAACCGAAACCAAAGTAATCACAACGGCCAATCAAAAGAAAGAAAAATATCACGGACAGCCAATGAGAACTCATAGTAAAAACAACCAAACTGCCTAAAGCGCGGGAAAACGCAGCCGACCAAGTCGTGTTTAGTGTTAGTTTTACATCTGATCGGTTGAGTGGCACGAGTTTTAATTCCTGGACCAATCACAATAGGAGGTAAAGCAAAACCAATGAAATCTCTGATTGCTTTCGACATTCAGTTGAAAATTCGTCGATTGAGGCACCGGCCTGGTGAGAGATTGGCGCGAGTTTGATGAGCACTCATAGAGCAAAGAGAAGCGATACTGGTGCAGTCCGGTCCAGTCCCTATAGACATTAGGTTGAAAATTGCCTTTTCTCCAATGCACTGGATACTAAGTTGAAAATTTCCTTTTTCTCGCAGCAAACCTTTGTTTACGATTCAAAAGTGTGGTCTTCAATGTCTTCAGTCTCTCCCGAAAATGGAGATACCGGATTGGATCACCTGGAGACCCTGTTACCAACCTACTGGAGCACGTCCTTTTCCAAAATCTGCCTTGGTATGAAGATCGATGGAGTAACCAGGTTCTTGCCGCTGCATCAGAAAGCAGACTCGTTGTATGCCCTCATTGGTGACGGTCAATACCGTGCTACCTCGCTGGGTCGTGATGTATGGATGAAGCTGATTGGTCCCAATGCCTCCCTCCAACGCAACTGTAATCAAGAAGGCTTCAGTTCGCGTGTGACTAGTACCGTTCATAGTCGGGTTCGAATTGGAATCATCTCTAATCAAGAAGGAGATTGTCATACCCCTGATTCCTTTATCGGATTTGGTGCAGGAGGGTCAGGATTCAAAAACGCGTGTGGAAACGGAGCCTTGTGGGGTGGGGACAACGGAGACAAAAATATCAAGGCATTTGGATACATTTTCGTTCAGTAAAGACGCTGAACTGCTCTGCTCAAGTAAAAAGTTGTATGCGACATGGAGCAAGCTCTTATTTCAGTAATGGGGATTTAAGATGTCGGGTTTCGCTTCTGCTATGAAATACACGAACAATAAAAGTGGGTTAATGAATGAAAATATTGTCTCTTGTATTTTTGAGTTGAGTTGTAGAAGAATCTGTCTTTTAGGTGTATAACTTTCACTCCCTCCAAGAAGTTACTTTTCCTTAAACCATATCAACATACTGTCTTTATGAGTGCTTTTCCTCTCTTGACAACACAATTCGTTTAGTAAGGGCCAAATTCTAAAAACTAAAATTACACAAAATAAATGGCAGAGAATAAGAGACCTTTTGTTATTTATTGCCTATGGGAGGGGAGGGGTGTCCCCAGACCAAAAATACAGAAACGATGCATATATTTACCATATCTTTGATTCATCCAGTATCCCGTCGAATAAGCACCGAACTCGACCGACTTCCGTAATCGTCGTGCAGTCCCATTTCCTTTTTACGAGCTCAATCAATAAACAAGCGACAAACACAGTTAGAGCCTGATGTGTTTTTTTCTGCGCATCTTGCTTTGTAAAAATCATCTCTTTTGCACAATTTCCATGTAACAATTTCTCAGTGTGTATTTGCCACCTGCCCTGACCCCACACTCGTTCCTTGCCTGTCCTTGTCGCATATTTCTTTCGAGGAACTTGTAGGTGTAGTTGGCCCTGAAGATATTGTTAGGCAATTAATCAAAGCTAGAACTATAAATTCTCGAACGTGATTGATTACCACCTGCCCGATTTATAATGGTAACGGGACTTCGTGTCGTCCAATTCGGTCTACAGTCAAAGTCCGATTTGGTTAATCACCCGTATGATTACAGACCCACTCAGTCCTATTACCGTTATTAATCAATTCACAGTGCAGGTAAAAATGCAGGTGAGTTATTTATTCACCGAAGTGGAGGTGAATGGAAGTAGATATTAACCGAGCTGCGAAGTGGCGAGATAGATATCTAGGACTTTAACCGACCCTGAGGTGCATAACTGTTTAAGTATTTACCACACAACAATAACAAAATTAGTTTATTTCCTGTTAATATACCAAAAAGTGGTCAGAAATTAAATTGATGACGCGCAATTTTCTCTCTCCTCGGTCATGCATGTCCAGTACCACGGATCGTCAAATATATTCACGAGTCGTAAGGCTGTGTTGACGATCCGTGAATCTCATTAAAGCTTTGGCCATGGCGTTTTAACGATCTGTTCGCTCCATACGGATCATGAATTGGACTCCTTTTTTTTCCTTTTTTTTCTTAGGCTCATGTTGCTTGTATTCGGCGGCTATTTTTTCTGCTCTTTAATCTTGCATTCAACTGTCAACTGTGTTTTGGTCGTTATTTGGTGAAAATAAAACTGTCCATCCTTTTCCTTTCACAACGTTGTCTTTTCAGTAGACATCTCATCCAATAAATCCATTATTACTCTACCAATTTATTTGTCGTAATTTCTAATAAATTATAGGTGAGAATTTTTTTTAAAATGAAATTCTTCATAAATGCTACTAAAGAAGATAGAAAATTAATTAATCTATTCCTCCCCGGCCCTCCAGCATGAAGGGCTTTGAAAACAGCATTCATAGTTTAATTTTTTTTGTTCCATTTCACTCAGAGCTTTTTTACACCTTCTTCTAAGAAAAAACATCCCCTCAAAAGCAACATGCATGATAACTTGCGTGAAGTGTCAATCAAAACTTAATTACGTTGGGGCCTAGGCTCCGACAAAATAAGGAACTAGTGTGGGGCCGAGGAGGGTGGCAAATACACACTGAGAAATCATGTTACAAGGAAATTTTGCAAAAGAAATGATTTTTGCTTCGCAAGAAGCGCGGAAAAAACAAATCAGGTCCTAACTGTTTTGTCGCTTGTTTACTGATTGTGCCCATAAAAAGGATACGGGACTGCAGGACGATTACGGAAGTCGGTCGAGTTAGGCGTCTATTCGACGACATAGTGGATGAATCAAAGATATGGTAAGTATATTCATTGTTTTCGTATCTTTCGGTCTGAGGACCCCAACCCCTCTTTTTCAGGCGATAAATAACGAGAGGTCTGTCATTTTCTGCCATTTATTTTGTGTAATTTTAGTTTTTAGAATTTGGCCCTTGCTGAACGAATTATGTTGTCAAGAGAAAAAAAGGCTCCCATAAAGGCAGTGTATTGATATGGTTTAAGGAAAGCAACTTCTAAGAGGGAGTAAAAGTTATACACCTACAAGACAGATTCTCCTTCGAGTACCTACAACACACAAATTAAGAGGCATCATTTTGATTCATTGACCCACTTTTATTTTCCATTCATTTAATAGCAAAAGCAAAAAATCACATTTAAAATGCCCATTACTGAGATAAGAGCATGCTTTATGTCGTATGCAGCTTTTCCCTTGAGTAGAGCAGTTCAGTGTCTTTACTGAACGAAGATGTATCCGAAGGCTCTCATGGTTTGGTCTCCGTTGTCCCCGCCGTGCCTGGCTACGTTTCCGCACGGGACTTCGGCTACCACTCCCCATCCACCAAACCCGATTCTAGAATCAGGAGAATTACATTCATTTTGCTCGTTAGCGATGATACCAATTCGTATCTTAGGATTAGAACTTACATTACCCTGCGTATTGAACCCTTCTCGATTACAGTTGCGCTGGAGGGAGGCTTTGGGACCAACCTCTCCCTTCCATGCATCACGACCCAGCGAGATTTCACGGTACTGACCATCAGCAACGAGGGCATACAGTGAGGCTGCTGCCCTATTCACTCGCAAGAACCTGCTTACTCCATCGACCTTCATGCCGAGACAGATCTTGGTAAAGGACGTGCTCCAGTACGTTGGTAACAGGGTCTCCATTTTCGGGAGAGACTGAAGACCTGGAAGACCACGCTTTTGAATCGTAGTTGAAGTTGTGCTGCAAGATGAGGCACTTTTCAAGTTAGTGTCTACAGTAATCTGGGATTGCCCCAGTTTTGCTTCACTTCGCTCCATGAGTGCTTCATCAAACTCGCGCCAGAAAATACCGAGAGTGTCCACTACGCCCGTATTGCATGCTGGTTGAGCGTGGCCCTTTAATATGATCTATAGAACATTCACTGACTTAAAAGAGACAATGGGAAACAAACAGGAGTGAAAGAAGCGAGTCAAAGTTTTCATTCAACATTCTTGAAAAACTACGGTCCCAAGGGTGTCCAGTTTAGAGGGGTTCCACTGTACCTTTGCACCGTCAATCTTCATGACCAGCGTCCATCCCCCACCACCGCAGTCTCCGAGCTCCCCATCCATGGAACAACACACAGACAGATATTTATTCCCAAGCTTGAGATTATACGCCTTGTTCGGGATGGCACTAATGAGAGAGCATCAGAGTGTTATATTCTTTGAATCCTACGAGGTAGTTCTTTGGAATGTCACGAGACGCAAAAAAGAAGCAGCACTGCGTGACATCGCAAAGAATACGCGGGGAAGTCTTGACTCAGCGCTATTACGGTCAGTGAGAATAATACTGAGATAAACAAAATCAGGGTTAACAGGACGGAGACGTGTCACAATTTCCAACGGGTGAAGGTTTGTTACAAGGCTATTTAGGTATTTAAACTGTGCTCTTGATGTGTAGCCAAACAGGAGCCCAGATCCGCACCATCACGATATTAGAGAACAATCAATCACTCACACTGATCCTTACATGTAAAGGGGAAGAGATGTGGAATTCTCAACTCGCATAATTTTTTTTCTTTTTTTTTTATGCGCTTTTAACTTTGTATATTTTTTTTTCTCCAGTGCGCAATTTTTTGTAAAAGGATTTTCACGATATGTTTGTTTGCCACCCACCCTCGTTCAGGCAGAAATTTAACGATCGTTCGTTCCTCAACTGTCTTTTTCATATATTTCTTTGCAGGAACTTGTGGGTGTTAGCTCTGAAGAGATGAGAGAAACTATCAGGCAATCGATCATAACTGGGTAACTACCAAAATTCCAAACTATGTTAGCATGTTACTTTTAATCCAGCCGAAATTCAGAACCGACGGACCAAAAAAGCGGTGATGTAAAAGTAACGTTAAAACGACAAAAAAGATCTTCTACATCTTACCTGACGGACAGCAGTACTTTTTCTTTTAAATCAGGTCCTCAAGATCTGACAACTTGTCCAATATTCGGCGGCAAAGTTTCTTTTTCTTGCCAGCATCAGCGCCAATTCCGAGATAAACCAGAAAGATAAGAGCACAAAATTTCATCGCTTTCGTTTTCTCACACTGTCACACTATAAATGAGGAAGTTATAACAAACGCCAACTTATTAACACATAAATAGCCTCTGACATTTACTTCAATTTCTCTTTACCTGTGTTTATGTAGTATAGTAGTTTGCGGTACCAAAGCACTTTGAAAAAGTGATCTTGTACAAAATGCCAACCCTCTATACTACCTTCTATATGATGGAATTATTTGATGAGATCATTTGATGGAATCATTTGATAAACTATGTGAGGAAATCATTTCATGGAATCATTTCATGGAATCATTTTTTAACCACAAAGCGTTGGAATACTATAGCAGAATAGCGATATGATCTCACGGTATTTGCCCATTGGGTGACACAAAAACAGGAAGTTTATGATGTAATACATGAGGGACTTTCCCGCGGAAATTAGTCATCAGATTGTCATGTGACAATCATTTTTGGGGTGACAATGAGTGACAACATTCCTGGGTTTAGCGTAATAATCAAAATTGTATTTTAACATTGTTGGGGGGTGGGGGACTTTTATGTAACTTTTTGGAAACTAATTTTAAAAATTCTGTCTGTTTTGTTGAGAAAAGGATTGTCGACTAATTACGAAAGGGAGGCGTGCAATTGTTAAACAAAAGATGTAAGAAAAGGTTAACTTAGTTTGTGAGTATTGTTCTTATGATCGACTGTCAAAAACAAAGTGATGACTCTGATAAAATGGATTATTACTGTTTATTTGAAGTTTTGAATTGGCCATTATGACAACTTTTTCCATCGTTCATGTCAAATGAGTCATGTTTTAACTTACGCTGGGAAAAGTGATGTATTATTGTCATTCTGATCTCGTTGAGTATTAGGCGAGTGTGCGCAGAGCATTTTAATTGATCTAAAGTGTGTATAAGATGCATTAATTATTAAGACTTCCGTATTTTGAGGCAGACCACTTCTCAAACTGAACAAGATAACCTCACTAGTCAAGGGATATGTTGCGAGGATCTCTTAAATTCGTCTCTTCATTTCATCTAATTGTTTTTAAGATTAAATTCAATCGCTTTGCCTGTGTTTTTCAATTGTGTTGAAGGGTCTTTTTATGTCTTACATTGCTTTATTATGTCTTGTATCGACCTCAAACGATTTGGTGTTTCCTTTTAGAGCTTTATTTGTTTGCCCTATTTTTGTTCTTGGTGTTGGAACTGGTTTATCTACAATCACCTTCTTTTTCCTTGGTTTTGGGATGGTTTGTAATCATCTTTGAACGCAGTTGGTGGAGGGATGATATTATCTTCATACTCCTGCACCATTTGTTTATCACTCTTTGGTGGTTTTGGGATTGGTCTTATGCTTTTGTTGTAGAAACTGGTTTATCATCTGCGATTATGATTTTAGGAGCTGGTTATACATTCTGCTTTGCAAGCAACTTGATAAGTTGTGATTTGGATAATTTCTTCAGAATTGATTTATTCATATTTATATAATTATTTGAGATGATATTTTTCATATTCATCTTCCATAACATTTCTTTAAACCTTGATAAAGATATAAAGAAATATTATATTACTATATTATAATGAGTAAAATTGTAATAGATGAATGCGTTTATAACTATCACCCGGTCTACAATTTATATCAGCAAATCAAAATGAGCAAATAATAAATATTGTTAAGAAATACCTCTCATTGATAATGATTGGTCAAGTGGTTATTTGGGATGCATGGTGAGTAAATATGGAAGTAAATATCAAAAAACGTATTATGTTCATCGTTTTGTTTGGGAATGTTTTAATGCTGTTATAACAGAAGACAAATTGAATGATCATATAAATAATAAAAAAAGATAACAGAATATGTAATATATAATTAATGATTCGACAACAGAATTATAAAAAGTCAGCCAAAGATCGTGATTATGCATTTACAAAAAATAATCATACGTATAAGAGATGTGTGAAGGTCATTAACCAAAGTATAAATGAAACTTCATATTATAACACTTTTTATCACATAAACCGCGGTGTTATACAAGAATTTCCGGCCCTGAGAAAAGCTATGACAACTTACGTGAAAAAATATCGTATTTTTTCACGTGTGTTGATATAGCCAATCAGCTGCTTACACGTCACTCGCCTTTGGCGCCACTCGGTCAGGTTGATGAATGAACGGCAAAGCCTTTACGATTCCCACTACAAGTTGTTTGTCAGAGCTTTCTCGGATTATGGCGACTAAAACACTAAAAAATCCGTATTGCTGACAGACAATGAGGTTCAAACTTTCCTAGAAGGGGAAGAAAACCAATATACTAAAAGAAAAACCGAAAGTTGCGCATTCAGTGGCTTTGGTGTTAGCATATCTCTCGGCTGAGAATGAAAATCGACAACTGGAAGATTTGCCACTGGCCGATTTTGGCCGTTTACTTAAAAGACTTCTTCTGTCGGTAAGGACAAAGTCAATGAGTGAGAGTTTTGTAAATTGAAAATTACGACCATTGTTGTTCTTGTAATCATGATTCAACGCATTTTTCCAACTTAAGAGTCAGCGCCGACGCACTCTACGATTGTTATTCGAGGATTGTCGATTCATTTATTTTCATTCATTAATGAAGTGGCTTATTTGATCGGCTATTGTGTTTATATGATAAAAAATAATACATTGTTGCTTGTAGATATGGAATTTCTCTTCTCGTTTTCAACTAGACTGCGCTCACTCGTGAGCTATCGAGTTAAACACTCGAAGAGAAATTCCATATCTACGCGCGCCCATGTATTATTCCCTATATATGCTGTGCAACAGCATCTTAAAATTAATGCAGGTATCATAAAGATGGTCTGTGAGCCTTTGAATAAATGCAAAACAGGAACTTCGAGCAAGGATGGTTGTAAGTATGAATTCAAGTGTATTGGAAAAGATAATATACCAACTAATTGTGGCATCATTAAATCGAGTGATGTATCAAAAGGATTGACAAATGATGAAAAGATAATGAATCAAAAGAAATCATGAGAAATGGCAACAAAAAGATTAAGTATGTGTAAGATGTCAAAAATTCAAAATCGAAGATTCTGAACCTAAATCAATATTGAATCCGAAGCAAAAAGGAGATATTTTTTTAATTCTAATTTTTTTCAATTTCAACTTTTAACTTTAATTTTTTAATTTTTCGTTTATTTTAAAAAATAAAAATGTTTTGTTTGAAAAAAGACTTTTTCGTGACTTGTTTGTTCCTCCTATTTTCCTCTGTGACTGTTTTAATGCTGCTTGCTTCAGTAAATTCTTGAATTTGATTCATTCACTTGCGAAGAACTTTCGAAAATTATTATTATCAGCCCATCCCTTCTAAAAAGTTTCGTTGCCGAGTTTTCTTCCTACTATTAGGTCGCTACTATCGTTTGAAGTCAAGGTTTTTGGTTATGATGTATTATATGGCGAGGTAGTCTTAAGGTAAATCCGAGAATTCTGACTGTTTCTTACTTGGTCCATACTCTGCCATACGGACCGTCTCCGGTCATAGGCTATGTCTTTTAGGTCGCAAAAGCCAACAAATTTAAAATAAACAAGTTTGGTCTGAGTGCCATGAAATAAACCACTAACGAAATGCGCCACCCACGCTTGCTCGAGTCGTACTTGGGAATATTGGCCCTCTTTCCTGACAGTAAAGACCTCGCTGTGCTCGGTCTGTACTGTCAATAAATCTAACCAAAATTCCTCGGTAAGGCACTTACGCTCAGTTCGTAAGAAGTTAATATTACTGAAACGATATCTCAGATCGTGCAAAATCCTTATTGTACATCTGGAGTATGAAGGTCTCATTAAAGTGATGGCTTTTACGGCTAACAGTTAAAACTTTGGCCAATTCACGGCTAACAATTAATTTCCTTCTGTTCCTCTTGATAGAGAAAATACTTACGGTTAACTTTTTATGCGACAAATGGTTAAAATCTATAAAATTTTACGCTTACGGCTACTTTATAACATGCCTTGTCTGTCTATTGCGAGATTAAAATAATCTTTCTCAACTAAAACTTACTTTGGAAGAAGTTAAGTGACCAGAATGGGGAGCTCTTCCCAAAGCATTTTGTTTTAACACTACAACTGGCCCTAAGTAAACATTCAAATTTTCGTGAGAAATCTCCAAGAGATTATGAAATTGAGATGCGTGACTGCTCGGTGTTTCTGATAATGATACCATTTGCTTGGCAAATTTATTTTCAATAAAATTTATGTTCTGAAAAGGTTTGATGTTTGATCGATTAACAATAATGTTTCGACTACAATCTCAAAACTGACTTACAATCATGATCCAATTTGATTACTCAATTGCATGGGAAGTCGCCAGTGAAATACATTGTGCAAAGTATGGAGTAGAGATAGCCAATCAGACATTCAAAAAAAGGAAAACATGGCATCCCACGCTGAATGTTTTGTTTTTGTGACAAAAGGGAAAAAATGAGAAGGCGAGAAGTGTTATAAAGTTTATATTAAAGTTCAAAAGGCAACCAGGTGGACAATCAAAACATGGTTTGATGCTACTCTGGTTTAAAAAATTTTATAAATGTAACCAAGATGTTACAATTCATAAACCCAACGTTTCGATACTCCTGTCTAGTGCCTTCATCAGGGATGATCTAATCGCTGCAACAAGAGGTCCTTTTATATGCTTACTAAGTAGCTGCCCTTTTTCTGACGAGGTGTTCATAAGTGTCAGGTAGTAAGCCGCCATCATCACGATTTAAAGGGCGCTTTTTGATGCTCTTTCAAACGTGTACCAAACTGACGTTTGATCTGTCCTGTAAACTCGTGATCACAGTCATTTCACGGAATAGAATAAATAGTGTTGGTTCGTTGTTCTTTAGTGACAGGATTCTTAGGTTTGGCGAAAACATGCCCTTAAGTCTGAAAAGGTTTTTGAGCAACTTTAACGTTGTGGCTATTCATACAGGATTGATAGTTGATCAAGTAAGAATAATATTTAGACTAGAATCTCAATATCCAAAGTATTTGGTTATTCATTTGCATGGAAGTCCCCAGGGAAAACACCGTTATGCAAAATATGGAGTTGAAATAACCAAACAGACAGTCAAAAAAAAGTGAAGTATGATAAGTGCTATGCTTTCGTGATGAAAGGGAAAAAATGAAAAGGCGGTTAGTATTATAACGTCTGTAATAAGAGGAGCGACAACCAGAATAAGAAACTGAGAAGTTTACTCAGTCAGATCCACCTGGTGACCGACAACGAATATTTAAGTAGTTGAACTTGCGGGAGCGGGTCCATAGAGGACGCACATGCTGCTAAGTTTTACAATGTAACGCATCTTATTTTAACAATAGCAGGTAATTTAGTGTTAACAACTGAGTTGAAAACGTAAATTGGCCACCGTAAAGGGTAAAAATACTGACGTTTCGAGCGTTAGCCCCTCGTCAGAGCGATTGGGGGAATTGTGGGTTGTGTGTGGGTTTCTATGCAGAAAGCGGAGCGACGCTATTGGTGGGAAAATGGTGACGAGAAAACAGGAATAAATTAACTGGATGAAAAGCGCTCGTTTAATCCGTGGGGATTAAGGATGCCGATTTGGAAGATAAATTTTTGTTCTAGTGTTTTGAATGAATGATTAGGGAGATTAAAGTGTCTAGCAACTGGTTTGGATGCGTCCTTGTCATTTCTTTCCACGTCGCGAAGGTGTTCTCGGAAACGGTAACCTAGTCGTCTTCCTGTATGTTTCGCCAATGTATAACTTGTTGCAGTAAGTGCAAGTTATGCAGTAAATAACATTGGCGGAGGTACACGTAAAGTGATCAGTGATCTTAATGGATCTCTTGGGTCCCGATATTTTCTCTACATTATGAATGAAAGGCCAATTTTTACATCGTGAGCGAGCGCATTTGAAAGTTCCAGATTGGTCACTGGTTTGAAATGAACTTCTGACCAAAAAGTTGCCTATGTTTTTGTCATGTTTGAATGAAACAAGTGGGGGTTGGGAAAAGATAGTGCCAGTCTCCGAATCGTTTTGGAGTAATTTAAAGTTTTTAAGAATGATAAATTAATTTAACCGCGTGGTTGTGAGGGTGAAATGTAGGAGTGAATGGAATGCGGTCAGTGTTTTCCTTCTCAGCCGTTTGTAGTGCTGACTGTCGATCAATTTGTTGGGCACGGTGGTGGCCCGCTTGAACGACAGAAACAGGATCGCCACGTTTATCGAAAAACTAGTACATTGCCTCTGATTTTTCGGAAAAATCAGAGTCGTCATCACATAAACGACGAAGTCTGAGAAACTGTGAAAAAGGTATTGAGTTCTTGACGTGTGATGGATGTGAAGATGAATATAATAAGTAACTATGTGAATCTGTTGGTTTGTAGAAAACATTGCCTTTGTCGGCCGCTTTAATTTTTTAAAATTTTTTTACCTGCTTTACCCTCCCACCGACGCAGCACCACAGTTTCTTTAGAAACTTAACCCCTTTATTCATTTGTTACTTTAGCAATGTCCTGCGGCGAAGTTTAAGGAAAACCCAGTGGGAGAGCCGTATTGTCAATCCAGAGGGCTCCCTAAACTTTACTTGTGATCACCTTGTTTCTTCTCTTACTTCGGGATAATTTGCAGTGATTTTTTAAAATGCTATTCTGCTCACTGGGAGCAAGCGAATATCGTTGAGAAAGTCTCGAAATGAAGTTTAGAGAGAGGCGATTAAACACTTCATTTTTTTTATGCATTATGTCTCTGCCACTCTCTGAACTACCAGAATTTCCTCAAGCCATTTCTTGTTGAATTTTTCTTTGGTGTCGGAAAAGTAGATGTATCTGAGGGCTGCATGCGGGGCACTAGCCTTGACGTTAAGCCCCCCGCATTTTCATCCGCTTAGCTGGCCTGAAGGCGGGTGATGCCTTGTATGAGGCAAATCATTAGCTGGCTTTTGACCGAAGTTTTCAGCAGCCTCTCTAGTTATCACGTAGTCTGATTAAAAGCAAGAGTTAGTCCAGACAGTGAAACTGCAATGATGAAGTTTTGCACAGAGAACGGTCTGGTTTATCTCGCAATGGTGATGTCGTTGTCGTTTTATAACAATCTATTTTGCAATGAAATAAAAGATACTTGTACTGTTAGTTTTTGCGATACATCAGCTTACATATCCCAATTTTTTTCAAACGACAGCAATCATACGCTACTACATAAGGCAATAGAATAATTTGAAAAAAAATTGAAGCAATGAAATGCTTCTTCGTAGTGAGAGTAAAATACTATATATCCGGTTCTTTCTTGGGTTCGATGCACATGGTCCATGTGTGCGGAGATATACAAGAGCTCCTTTCACATTGCTAAGGGGCGCCCTGAGCAGAGACTTCCGCAAGACACAAACCGAGAGGATGTCAAGCCGTGCTTAACTATCTTTTGACTGAAAACCTCAGCTTTAAGAGCAGATCTGAGAATTCGAGTACTTTGGGGAAAAGAATCCGAGGCTAAGTAACCGAAATCAGCGCATTAAAAAGAGAAGTTTGCAACTCATAGAGAAAAATTGCAAGACTAATGATTTTTTTTAACGGAAGGAGTGGTCTTCATACGAATTTTAAAATCATAATAACCCTGCCTTCACTTAAAATATTAAATTCATATTTCTTTAGTTTACCGACAGCCATTACTCATATTGGAAAATCCTGACCCCGTTTCACGCACGAATTGTAGAAAATTCACACGTCACGAATTCAAAAGAGAAACTCGTGTGCTAAGATTTTCACGAAATGAAAGAGAAATTCACGGGTCACTTGTATTTCATGCAGCAAATCACGCCTAACGCTGATTTATAACTTCACGAACGAATAACGCTCGCCTTAAAGGAAATTTCACGTGTCACATTAATTTTGGCCTAAACGCGCATCACGTTTGCCATCATCATTTGGCTTGAAAGATTTGATGGATTACGTACATAAATTTACCTACGAATAACGCTCGCCTTAAAGGAAATTTGACGTGTCACATTAATTTTGGCTTAAACACGCATCACGTTTGCCATTATCATTTGGCTTGAAAGATTTTATGATTTTACTTACATAACTTTACGTACGAATAACGCTCGCCTTAAAGGAAATTTCACGTGTCACATTAGTTTTGGCCTCAAACACGCATCACGTTCGCCATTATCATTTGGCTTGAAAGATTTAATAAATTACTGACATAACTTTACGTTCGAATAACGCTCGCCTTACAGGAAATTTCACGTGTCGCATTAATTTTGGCCTACACGCACCACGTTTGCCATCATCATTTGGCTTGAAATATTTGATAAATTACATTGGCCTTCCCGTCGTCAGTATCCATGGTTATTCGAATTTCGTCTAAAGCATGAATACCACTATGAATCAGAATTTCTAATTGTTAGTTGGTTAAAGTTAAGGTCTGATGAAGGTAGAAATTCTCGCAACAAAGCATAAGGCTTTAGTATAAACTCGACTACAGTGAAATTGTAATAAATGTCAGCAGCGATTCATGTATTTATAATTTGGCGCTTGTTATAACTTCCTCACTTATCGTCGAGTCTGGCTGAAATCAAGTGGTATTCAAGACAGTGTGAGAAGACGAAAGCGATGAAGCTTTGTGCGCTCATCTTTCTGGTTTATCTCGCAATTGGTGCTGTTGCTGGCAAGAAAAACAAACTTTGCAGCCAAATGTTGAGCAAGTTATCAGATCTTGAGGACCTGATTAACAAGAAACAGGACTGCTGTGTACCAGGTAAGATGTAGAAGATCGTTTCTGCTGTTTTTAACGTCACCGCTTTGTTGGTCCGTCGATTCTGAATTTTGGTGGGATTAAAAGTTTTTGTTAACATAGTTTGGAATATTCACATTTATCCAGTTATGATTTGTTGCTTAATCGTTTTCTCATCTCATACCCGCAGAGCCCGTCGCGCCCCCAAGTTCCTGCAAAGAAATATACGACAAAGACCGGTAAGGAACGAACGATCGTTAAATTTGTGCCTGAGCGAGGGTGGGTGGCAAACAAACATATCGTGAAAATCCTTCTCCAAGAAAAATGCGCAAAAGAAAGAAAGTTACAAAAAGCTAGAAAAAAACAAACAAAACAAGACAAAACAAAGCAAAAAAAGAGAAAAGAAAGAAAGAAAGAAAAAAAAAACATGCATGCAAAATTTGAACGCAAAATAATTTATGCAAGTTGTTGCCCCCTCAGGCTCTGTGGTTATCTGATGACCCTCCCTCATTGGCAGTCAAATTTCTACAATCCCCCTTTTATACTCTGATAGCGTAGACTGACCACCCCCCTCCCTCAGTTGCCCTTTAAAAACCTTGTGTTCCGCCTTAACTCTCCGACATCCCCCCCCCCCGTTCCCCTTTTTCTTTCCCCCTTCCAACCTGGTGCTGACCATTGACTGTTCTCAGGAAAGAAAGATGAATAAATTATGTACCATTATGTCTCAGAGAGTTCCGGTTTCTATCTAGGGATTTATATTTTTCCTAATCGATACCAGGAATTGTGTGAGTGATTCAAGAGAATATAAAGTCGACTAGATTTGTTGGTTTTGTTCTCTGATATCGTAATATCGCGGCTCTGAGCTCCTGTTTGGCTGCACATGTAGCAAGCCCTCACCCGTTGGAAATTTTAAGACGTCTCCGCCCTATTAACCCTGATTTTGTTCGTCTCAGTAGTATTCCCATTGACCGCAATAGCGCCAAGCCAAGAAAAAACTTCTCCGCACGTATTCTTTACGATGTCACGCAGCGCTGGTTCTTTTTTACGTTGCGTGACATTCCAAAGAACTACCACGTAGGATTCAAAGAACATAACACACTGATACTCTCTTATTAGTGACAGCCCAAACAAAGCGTATGACCTCAAGCTAGGCGATGAAGATGTGTCTGTGTACTGTTCCATGAGTGGGGAGCTTGGAGACTGCGGTGGTGGGGGATGGACGCTGGTCATGAAGACTGACGGTGCAAAGGTATTTCAAACATGTTCAAGGTTTCAAAACCCTACCAACTCATTGTTTTTCGAATGTAACGAATGAAAACTTTGATTCGTTTCTCTCACTCCTGTTTGTTTCCCATTTTCTCTCTCAAATCAGTGAATGTTTTATGGAGCACATGAAGGTCTTCGCTCAACCAGGATGTAATGCAGGCGTAGTGAACATTCTCAGTATTTTCTGTATAATAATCTACTTGCGCTTCTAATTGGCTGAAAACAAATGCATTCTCATGTAACACGAGTGCAAAGTTGTAACAGGAGTGCAAATTACAAATAGCGCGTGCACGCTTTGAAAGTTTGTCTGTCTTGACTTCTGTGATGTTTTTTTCATGTACATTGTTAAAGGCAGTAACATGATTTCTCTTGCTATTTGTCGTGATAAGTACTATCAATAACAACATAGGGCAGAATGCTGTGACATTCATTAAATATTCATGATCACCGAAGCGCAAATACGCGCTCTGAAAAGCCCAAAATTAGAGAAGAAAGGGCCATAATTGGCCAAGTAGCGTTGATAAAACTTGCTTTCCTGATTTCAAGAATTAAAAATCTTGAAACCCACGCACGGAATTTTGAAGAGGAATGTTGTATCAACAATTTAAGACTAAAATAAGGAAGATTGAACAAGTGGAAAGAGTATCCTTTTGCACTTGAAAATAAGGAAAAATTGACCTTTTTTTTGTATGGAGTCCGTTTTCCAAAGCAAATTTCTGAAAACTTTTACTGAATTTCGACAACCCACGCACGGTTTATGGAAAATTCATCTTTTCTCATCAAGAATCTGCAAAAAGGTTTACAAATTGGTCAACGGGAACCACTATCCTTTTCAGTTTGAAAACTGCTGGTTGAATTCGCGTTTGAAAATGGCGCGTCTTGAGCGAGCGAGCTATTGTTTTAAGCCTTCGATTGAATAACAATGGTTACCAAGACTAAATAATAGACCATTCATAAAAACCATTCAGTTGTAAAATTATTCACTATTACCGCGAATTTTAAAAGTAAGTAAAGTAAAGCAGCTGGTTCATTCAAACAGCCGATCACATCGCGCAATGGATAAAGTCATGGAAAACGTCAGCGATCGGGAGCTCTTTTCAGAGCTCGTTGACAACCCGATCAATCCGTTACATGTACATATAGTGCCTCCATTTGTGAAAGAAAACAACCCAATGTTTTATCTTCAAATAAACGGAGAGGCTGCGTTCAAATGGCGAGATAGTTATGGTCAGCCCTGTAAAGTATTTAACTTACTCCGAGTTTATTCAAACGAAGGAAGAAACAAAAGCGGGTTGTGGTCATTCAAACAAAGGGAGTAACAATAGCGCACTAAAGCCATTGTTCAGTTTGCCGCCACATTCAAGTTAATTAGTATTGCCGCGCGTTCATAGCAACCAATAAAAAAGCTTCTTTCTGGGCTTCCATTAATAGTAATAAGCGTTATGACAGACCTATGCGTCTTCTTGAACTGTAAGTAAATGTCACAAGAACAATAGCCATTCTACGCTATGATTGCACTCCAAATCATTTTATCATCTGTACTTACAGAAAAGGAAAGTCTACCGTGTGTGTGATATTATTCGACTAACACTATGCAACCATGATCGAGAACCGGCTTTTAATACCCTCATCTAGTTTCGTCAAGTGTCTATCGCCTATTTTCTGCATATTTTTGTCGTTTGATTCCGCGTTTGCGAAAATGAAGCCATCGAAAAGAGGTCGTCCTGCACAATGTAAAGCCACCATATTAAATGGTTTGTTAGATCAATTCTAAAAGCCTTGGGATAAGACAAGAAAACAAACAGCGAGTCCTTTGAGACCCTGCTACACAGCATTTCGCAGGAAAATCAAACAGAAGGCTCCTCTCAGCACTTGAAAGACCGTCAGACGGGGAAACATTTGTGATCGATCGCAAGTCTAATTCCATGGAAGTTTTTGAGTGACCTTTCTCTCTCGGTTAGATCAAATTCAGAGATGCATTTCTCCAAAATTTCCTCTCATTATTCTTTATTATTTACTGAATGTTTTTATTAAAAAAGTGGAGCGTGACGAATTTATTCGTAGGAGGCGAAGCACTTCTTTTACGAATCCTTTCTTTGCGCCTTGTGAATGACACCAGCGTTTCACCGACACGCGTAAATATATTTTAGAATTCGAAGGTCTCCGTCTCTTTGCAATACGTTTCGACGTCAAGGATCGAGTCCCTGTTAAATCTCTTGCTTTTGTACACTTTTGTCAAGTATATAACTTCTGAGTCTGATATTTCAGCCGTGAATAGTGATTGTATCGCGGCAAGAGAATATGTATTGTCTTGATCGTGGCTCAACGTAGCTGTTTGGCCGTCTTACAAATTCTTCCACATTGTCTTTGATTCTGTTCCGCAGATAGAAAACGTCGTGCAATGTAAGCGATTTAGTTTAGTCTTTCAGTGTCGTAAAACCGAAACCAAAGTAATCACTACGGCCAATCAAAAGAAAGAAAAATATCCCGGAGAGCCAATGAAAACTCATAGTAAAAACAATCAAACTGCCTAAAGTGTGGGAAAACGCAGGCGACCAAGTCGCGATTGGTGTTAGTTTTACATCTGATTGGTCTAAAGTGGCGCGAGTTTTCTGAACCAATCGCATTGCGAATTAAAGCAAAACCAACGAAATCTCGGATTACGTTCGACACTCAATTGAAAATTTCTCTGATAAAGCACCTAACCGGTTAAGAGCTTAGCGCGAGTTTAATGGAGCACTCATAGAGCAAAGAGAAGCGATACTGGTGCAAACTCGGATTACTATAGACACTAACTTAAAAATTGCCCTATCTCCAATGCTCTGGATACTAAGTTAAAAATTTCCTTTTTCTCGCAGGACACCTTCAGTTATGATTCAAAAGCGTGGTCTTCCATGTCTCCAGTCTCTCCCGAAAATGGAGACACCGGGTTGGATCACATGGAGACCCTGTTACCAACCTACTGGAGTACGTCCTTTTCCAAGATCTGTCTCGGCATGAAGGTCGGTGGAGTAACCAGGTTCTTGCGATTACATCGGGAAGCAGCCTCATTGTATTTCCTTATTGCTGACGGTCAATACCGACGTACCTCGCTAGGTCGTAATGCATGGAAGAAGCTGATTGGTCCCAATGCCTCCCTCCAGCGCAACTGTAATCGAGAAGGGTTCAATTCGCGGGGGAGTGGTGGTATTAAGACTCGAATTGGAATTATCAGTAATCAAGAAGGAGATTGTAGAACCCCCGATTCCTTCATCGGATTTGGTGGGGCAGAACTGTCGTTCAAAAACGTGTGTGGAAACAGAGCTGCGTATTCACCGGACAACGGAAACAAAAATACCAAGGCATTCGGATACATTTTCGTTCAGTAAAGACGCTGAACTGCTCTGCTCAAGGAAAAAGTTGCATGCGACATGGAGCAATGATCATGCTTTTATTTCAGTAATGGGGATTTAAGACGTCGGGTTTCACTTTTGCTGTTAAATAAAGTAACAATAAAAGTGGGTTAATGAACCAAAATATTGTCTCTTAATTTTTTTTCTTGTAGTTACTCGAAGGAGAATCTATCTTTTCCTCAAACCATATCAACACACTGTCTTTGGGAGTGTTTTTCCTCTCTTGACAACATAACTGGTTTATTAAGGCCAAATTCTAAAAACTAAAATTCCACAAAATAAACGGCAGAAAATGAGAGACCTGTCGTCATTTATCACCCAAGGGAGGAAAGGGGGGGAAGGGGAGGAGGGAGGAATCTCCAGACCGAAAAATACAAAAATAATGATTGTACTTACCATATCTTTGATTCATCCAGTATCTCATCGAATAGGGGCTTAGCTCCACGGACTTCCGTGATCGTTCTGCTGTCCCATTTCCTTTTTACGGGCGCAATCAGTAAACAAGCTACAAAACAGTTAGTACCTGATTTGTTTCTTTCTGCGCTTCCTGCTTTGCAAAAATCATTTCTTTTACACAATTTTCTTGTAACATAATTTCTGTGTGTATTTGCCACCCCGCACAGGCCCCGCACTCGTTTCTTGCCTGCCCTTATCGCATATTTCTTTCAAGGAACTTTCGGGTGTATTTGGCCCTGAAGATATCATTAGAGAATTGATTAAAACTAGAACTTGATTGGTTATCACTAGCCCGATTTATAATGGTAATAGGACCGAGCGGAGTCCAATTCGGTCTGTAATCATACCAGTTATTATTAATCACGAGTGCGATTACTGACAGAATTGGACGACATTAAGTCCTGTTACCAGTTAATGAAAACTATGACAAAATTTGATAAGAAACTAGATATCGGTTATACGTTTTCGTAAAAAAAAAAACAACGGATTAGCTCGGCCAAATACGAGAACCACAGCGCGCGCACATGACGCATTCTGTCCGCTTACACAGGAATGGCGTGTTAACTGTCCCTTTTAACTGTCCTATCACACTGTCCAATTACAAGCATGACGCGTACACTGTCCTACTAGTATAGGTAATCACATGATTTCGAGTGCAATTTGGAATAAGTAAGCATGAGTAAATTTTTTCAATGACTAACAAAATGAGAAAAATAATGTGATAACGTATTAATGATAGACATGAAAAAACACGAGATAGCTTATCATAATTATGCAGAAGCAAAGCGCACGCATCAAGTGAAAAAATAATTTATTCAAACCCTGTAGGTGACATTGTGTGATCGGTCAAAACAACCACCTTCGATAATGTACACAAACGACAAAAGAATTCCTCGTTCTAAAAGTACCGCTCGAAGTGCGCAAACAACAAAAGCATTCTTCGTTCTTAAAGCACCGCGCGAAGGGCACAAATAACGACTGTATTTCTCGCTTTAGCAAAAAGCACTGTGAGAAATGGACTAAAACATTTAAACTAGGAATGGTGTTTTCAAAGCCCTTTGGGCTGGAGGGCTGTGGAGGACTATATTAATTGACCGTTTTTATGCTAGAGACGTTAAAGTTGTCTAAGACGTTAAAGTCGTGCATTTCGAGCAAAAAGCACTGTGAGAAATGGACCAAAACATTTAAACTAGGAATGGTGTTTTTAAAGCCCTTTGGGCTGGAGGGCCGCGGAGGAATATATTAATTTATTTCTACCTTCTTTGGCGGCATTTATAAAGAATTTCCAAAAGTAATGCCAGTATACTCTGTATCAATTGAATGCAGGATTAAGAGCGGAAAAAATCGACGCACTTGTCGGAACACCGAATACACGCAACGTGAGCGTTGGAAAAAAGGGGACAAAAGAGTCCAACAATTTTTGTCCAAGAATGCTTGTATTGAGATCAGCCATTTTCAACGGCACACCCCTTGAGTTTCGCGTACGCGCCTGACTATCGCTTTCGACATCGGTCGTTTAGCAGGAGTATTTCGGTGTGTTGGTGAAAAAGATTAATTGAACGGGATATCCATTGAACACGCAACTTTGTGAAAGGAAATGATGAACATTTTTATTTCTATCAAATAACAACCAAAAGTAACGTGTGACCTCTGTTTCAATCGAATGCAAAAATTATCGCACGTGACAGAACATCGAATACACGTAATAGTACTTTCAAGAATATTCATAATTAGAAATAAATAACAAGTAACTGTAAACTTATTGACAAATCGACATCTAGCTCACGTTAAAGTTCAAGTTCCATCATAAACATTATCACGATTTAAATATTTAATGCTTTCATATACGACTTCTTGTGGTGATTAAATTCGAAAATGGAGTGATAAAACATGTTTCTTACAAAGATTCAAAGCGCGGCGAAAGGCAAAGTTTGCTGTCGCGTTCTAAACGGGAATCAGTATTAATTTTTCTTAAAACTTTTCCATCCATTCGTATGTGGCCAAACACTGCTGTGATCAAACCAGCAGGTTAAATACTAATGAAATAATTCCCACATAAAAATTACGCAGAAAAACAACCCTAATGCAATTTTACAAGATGTATGTCTTAAGAAAAGTTTTGGTGCGGAGTATCACTGTGGATATTTCAAATATTTAGGAGCCCGCCGTGCGAGTCCGGATACAACAATTCATAAGCAATTTTAAGGGTAATACCAGTGCTCCCGTATTTCCAACTCATGGTGAAAAAAACAACGGAATTGCGAGACAAAGTGGCAACTTGTACGCACCCTCTCACGGTGATAGGAAAACTTGCCGCAAAACAAAGTTCAAAATTCACAGTAAATGCATGAGTCGTTTTATATGTCCCCTCTGAAATGAGTTTACGAATTTTTCATTGAATTTCAAGATAATAAGAAAACGGAAATTAGAAAAAGGAAACTTGTGCTTGTTGTGATAGAAGGAATTATTATTGTTTGAAAGTCAAATTGGCCATTATGATAATTTTTTTAATTACACAGGTAAAAATCAGTTATGAAAGATATATTAATTGGTGTCACTCTGATCACGTAGGTTGCAATGAATGACGCAATTCCTGGGGTTGGCAAACTGGACAAAAATGTATTGCAACATTGTTTGGCGGGGGAAGGGAGAAGGAGAGGGGGACTTTTCATGTAACTTACAAGAAGGTCCTCTATGCTCCTTTGTAAAACTCAGTCACGTAAAAATATTTGGCCTTTTCACGTATCGCAAATAATATATAAAACCCTTTCACGTTCACGCGAAATTCAAGGCAGTCAATTTGAATAAATAATTGACTTATTTCAGTCTTGACCGGTCGCGCGTGACAAAAAATGACATGATGTCTTATCTCATTTGTTCAATTGTTTTGTCGACCATTTGAAGTCCTTCATCTGAAGTCCTGTCAAAACCCTGGTCAAAACCCAACCACAGCTGTTCGAAGAACAATACATACATTTTCAAAACAATTTAAAAATAGCCAGGAATTCATCAAGCAAAACGAAATGGTTCACGAATCACTTTTAATTCAGTTCTAAGATCAGGGGTCACTCGTTCACGTAGAAAGGAAAAGATCTTATTATCTTTAGGCATGATTCACGATTAAAAAAATAATCAAATCACAATTCACGACAGAAAAAAACGCCCAATCACGCTTCACGTAAAAAGTGTATGGAACCCTCTTATCAGAGTTAAATTTGGAGATTCCTGTCTACTTAGTTGAGTAGAGGTTTGTCGACCATTTACTAAGGAGAGGCGTGTCAACCGTAAGACAAGAGAAATAAGAATAATTACGTTTACCTTGTTTGTATAATCGATTGTTAAAAACAAAGTGATGACTCTAATAGGAGGAATAATTTCGGTTTATTTGAAGTTCTTAATTAGGCGTCATTACAACTTTTTCCATTGTTCAAGTCAAATCAGTCATGTTTTAACTTATGCTCGGTTCAATAATGTATCATTGTGACTCTGATCTGGTAGAGTACAATGAGTTGCAACACTCCTGGGGTTAGCCTAATGGTCAAAAATGTATTGCAATATTGTTGGGTGGAGGAAGACTTTGATGTAACTTTTGGAGATGAATTTAAAAAAATTCTGTCTACTTTGTTGAGAAAAAGATTGCCGACTAATTACTAAGGAGGCATGCAGCTGATAGACAAAAGATAGAAGTAACTTATGCTCTAATGAATAACATATTATCACCCTGATCACGTAGAGTATTTGGCGAGTTTGCGCAAAACATTTTTTGATTGATCTAAAGTGTATATAAGATGCATCAAGTATTGGGACTTTTGCATTTTGAGGCAGACCACTTCTCAAACTGAACAAGATAACTTCACTAGGTAAGGGATGTCTTTGTTTGTTTGTTTGTTTGTTTTTTTTAATAACGTTACATGTTGCAATATAAAAGTGCGAAGGTCGTAGTGTTACTTTTAGCATGTCAAAGTAGGATGCTAGATTTCCACTTCTTAGAGTTAGCGTTTGGAGAGTATAGCTTAGCTCTATGCTTTATTTTGAAAAACGACTGAGACAGAAGTTACTAAGCAGGTAGAAATATGAAATGTTCATGGCGCGAGAAAAGATTACGTGCAAGTTGAAAGTTGATTGTCCGAGTTATGGAAACCTTCACGGAGTTTTGCAGAAAAAGTGCTGTACAGTTTTAAAAAGTTGCTGTTAGAATAATCTCTTGTAACACGGCAAACTGTACACGTTGCTGCTCTTTGAAACTTTATGCTGTTTTTAAATAGAGAGTCTCTTCTAAGAGTGGTTGTGAGGGTATTGACCCAAAACGGGAACAAGGAGGTAATTAAACTGTGAGAAGGACAATTTATAATACGTCTGAAGCACGAATGTCAATATTAAGCAGAATTTTTATTGGTCAGATGGTTGCAGAAAAGTGCTACAAACATCCTTTTAAGATAGGTATGACGAAGATAGAAATTCTTTCAGCAAAGAATAAGGCTAAAGTATGAGCTCAAGTAAGAAGAAGTTGTTGCGAAAGTCATAACTGACAAAATGGGGTTTACCTTCCTCAGATATCATCGGGGCTCACTGAAGTCAGGAGGTACTTAAGACAGTGAAAAGACAACTATGGATTTTTGTGCACTCATCTTTGTGGTTTATCTCGCCATTGGCGCCGCTGCAGGTAAGCCAGAGAAAGAAATTTTCAAACAAAAAAACGGACAAGTAGTCAGATATTGAGGACTTGATCCTGCTGAGCACCGAGTAAGGTTCACTGAGAAAAATCGTTTCATCTGTTTCTGCATTTCCCTAGGTGCCTTAAATTTGTCTCACGGTTTTCAATTTCAATTACATGAAAATTTATCGTTGAGCCATTTCGTAAATTCAGAACGGATTCAAATTTCACACGCATTCTAAGTATCTCACAGTTCACAGTAGTCTGAATTCTAGAATTTGAAAATGATGAACGAGTTATCGAAACGTCATTCGAAATTATTTTCGATGATTTTTACTCTAAATTGCTTTTTCCAGAGCCTCCGTTATTGTAAGCCAATCATTCAAAAATAAAAGCACTAAAAGGAACTTCGTTCGTTCGTCGGCTCAAACCGAACTCTAGGGTCATGAAACTTTTTTCAGGACAAAACGATGGTGAAACTGTGGTGCTGCGTCGGTGGGAGAGTATAACAGGATAATTTAGTATTAGGGACCTTAAGCAGTCAGGACGGCAACGTCAAGGAAGACTTCGATTAAAAAAATAAATTTCTGCCTTAAATTAGAATTTAAAAAATGGCTGCATTTGTTTACCGTCTCATACGGTGCCACACCTCAACTTCAGCATAACGTAGAGGAAAAAGAAGCGTTGAGTTCCAAGTGGAAATTAAAACAATTTGCCGTCGCGGTTTCGGTTTGCAGACGACGCAAATTGTGGTGATTTCACGTTGTTACATAGGACGGCCAAGAAATGTACAAAGTACTAAAACGCACGTGCTGAGCTATTGTTCTGCCGATTAGATCTTTTGTTTTTCCACGTCCTCGTTGCCGTCATCGTCGTGGTTTGCTTAAGGTCCCTTAGAGTTTAAAAGCTGACGTTTCGAGCGTTAGCCCTTCGTCAGAGCGATAGGAAAACCACATGTAAACAATAATCGGGAAACGTAATGTGAAGCCTGGATTTACCTCTGACGATTAGCATCACAACTTGTTCTTATGATCTCTTCAGGGCACCAGCCACGTTCCTGTAAAGAAATATACGACCAGAACAGGTAAGGAACGAACAATCACAATCACACAGAAAATTTTTTGCAAGAAAACTAGTCAAAGCAAGAAGCGCAGAGAAAAGGGAAAGAAATCATGTATTAACTTCCACGACACTGCTACAGGATTGTGCCTAAGGAAAGGAAAAAAAAAACACATCCGTATAAGATATTCAATAGTTTTTCCTCTAAGAAAGAGTGGAAAAAAAACTTATAAAATTGAAATCCCAGGGAGTCAGTTTTTATCTAGAGGTGGAAGGTGTGGCCTCCATTGCTGACCGATACTATAGGAATTTTAGGGAGGGATTCAAGAGAAAATGAACTGCGTTGGTTCCTTATATTAACGGAGCGGATCTGATATCCCGTTAAGATACACATCAAGTACCCATTTCGAATACCTACATAGCCATGTAACAAGCCTCTACTTGTTGAAAAAATGAAGACGTCTTTAGTATTTTCATTGACATACAGTGATAGTACTAAACCATGACTTCTCAGCAGCCTTTCTTATATGTAAATGCAAAAATTCTGCCTATTACCTTCTTATATTATGAAGCAGTTTGTGAATTAATGCTCGATGTTCATAACGACGGTGCACCTTCTAACATCATAAAACTTTTCACGAGAACTTCAAACATCTATACATATACTACTCGCTCATCAACGTCACAACTCTTAAACGTTGGGTAGTCCAGGCTTAAAATGCAAAGAAAGGCCTTTTCGCGTGTTGGTGTCAAAGTCTGGAATGAGATACCTAGTGAATATAAAAACTTCTCAAAGAAAATCTTTCAAAAAAAGAAACAAAAAGAGCTCTTCTCAATATTCTAGATAATGAAGATTCTTATATGAGGCCTGATGAGATAGTGCTAAAATTCAAACACAGCAAAATTGAACCAAATTGAACCAGTTCTACAATATTTTTCGTGCAAAAAAACTTAAAAACTCTAGGACTTATTCTCCTCTACAATGAACATCTGTCATTTTCCTTTTTTTCTTTTCTTGTGTATCATTTGGCTTTTTATGTTGTATTTCTTCATTTCCGTTTTATTTCCAGTGTAATCAAATTAAGTTAGTTAAGAAAGAAAAATAAATTGACCCGTTCTCGATTAGCATTTGCTATCTGCGAGTCAAAGGAATATCTTGCAAATATGTATGAAAATAAAAATAAAAATGTGTGCGTGTGTTTTTCAATGCCATTTCACGTAGTTCTACTTCATTTTTGCGTTGCGTGACCGTCCAAGAAATTAATGTAAGAGTCAACTCTTTCCCCAGCGCCAGCTCCAACAAGGCATATACCCTCAGGTTAGACAATGGAGATCTGCCGGTGTACTGTTCCATGAGTGGGGAGCTCGGAGAATGCGGAGATGGCGGATGGACGCTGGTCATGAAGATTGATGGTGAAAAGGCATGTTTGAGATTCCGTAGCTCTACCAATTCAATGGACTTCTGTTCTTCGAGTTTTCTGAATGAAAACTAACTCGTTTCTTATTTCGCCCACTCTTGTTTGTTGTAAAGTAATCATGAGATTACATTGAGCGATCCTAGATATATTTTAGTTACTCAAAATGTTTTCCTACTCTCAAAACATAAAAGATATTGGAATATGGTCATCCTTCAAGAGGAATGTCCTTCGAAATTTTCTTCACTTCATGACTCAGCCTTTTTTGAACTTTGAGACGAGAGTGACATGTATCTCTAGCACCCTTTTTCATTGATTATGCAAAGTAATCACAATTTTAAGACAATCAGAGGGGATGAAACGGCAAATGACAAGTTAAAGTAAACAAATTAAAACAAAAAAAAACAAAAAACAAAAACAAAAAAAAGGAAACTATTCAAAGAGCAGGAAGGCTCGAGTGATTAAGTCAAGACTAACTCTAGAGCGCTTTAAGATTGACAACCAAAACCAAAGTATTTACAAACGCCAATCAGAGGAAAGGAAAATACCTTAGAGAGCCAATTAATGAGAACTCAAATTGAAAACAAGCAAACCATCCAAAGCGCGGGAAAACGAGGGCGACCAAGTCGTGATTCGTGCTAGTGTTACATCTGATTGGTTGAGAGAGTACAATGCAATGCAATCCCGCCTTACTTTCAATTGAAAATTGCTTTTTTTTATAACATCCTACCAGTTGAGGGACTGGCGTAAGTTTGATGGAGCACTCATAAAGCAAAGGGAAGCAGTAACAATTCAATTCCGAATTATTTTCGTTTCTAACTTGGAAATTGCTTCATCTTGCAGAACACGTTCTGGTATGGTTCAAACAGGTGGTATGACAGGTCTTCATTCTCTCCCCAAAATGGAGACACTGGGTTGGATCACTTGGAGACCCAGTTACCAACCTACTGGAGCACTTCCTTCACCAAGATCTGTCTCGGTATGAAGGTCAATGGAGTAACCAGGTTCTTGCAAGTGGATAAGGCAGCAGCCTCACTGCATGACCTCATTGCTGATGGTGAATACCGTCCTACTTCGCTGGGTCGGGATGAATGGAAGACGCTGATTGGTCCCGATGCCTCTCTGCAGCTTAAATGTAACAAAGAAGGGTTCAACTCGCAAGGAACTATGCACCGTACCTCGAGAGTTCGAATTGGAATCATCGCTAATCAAGAAAACGATTGCAACTTCCCTGATTCCAGAATCGGATTTGGTGGAGGAGGGTCAGGATTCGAAAACGCCTGTGGAAACGGAGCCTCGTGGAGTGCGGACAACGGAGACAAAAATATCAAGGCTTTCGGCTACATCTTTGTTCAGTAAAGAAGCTAAACTGCTCTGCTTAAGGAAAAAGTTGCATGCGACGTAAAGCGATGATCATGCTCTAATTTCAGTAATGGGGATTTTAAATGTAGGTTTTTGCTTTTGCACTTACGCGAAAGAACAATAAAATTGGGTTAATGAATCTAAATCACGTCTCTTGAGATGCATTTCTCTGAAATTTTATCACTTTTACTCCCAGAATCAGCCAATTTACTTCTCCTTATTTTATCAACACGCTGTTTGGCTAGAAACGCAATTTGTGATAATCGTTATTAGCTCCTATTTCCTGAGGAACTACCATGATAAAAATCCTTATGTATTGCACGGCCGTGCGTCTATCACATGACGTGTGCAATTTCACTTTGGCTGAAAGTCCCCGTTGAGTTTAGCCGTGATTTTAAAAATGTGCAAGATTTTTTCCTCGCTCTATCCCGACTGAGATCGACCTTTTGGAGCTTTGAAAATAAAACATGCCAAATAATACTCTTTTTAAAAAAATGGACATGTAATTCTTTCAAGCGACGAAATTAGTTTTAGAGTTGATGACAATTCACTCTCAAACGCGATGCGAATTATGGCTGAAAACAAAACCAAGCTTTCTGACTTTAACTGAGATTTCGCCACGTTGGGTAATCCTCATTAATCCATTAGCCCCTAAGAGTGACTACCATCTAAATTCTCCTTACTCTATCCTCCCTGAATCAAACGTGAAAGTCATGAGAATAGAGGTGAAGATCACCAACTGAAGCAGCTCTTGATTATTAAACAAATTCTCCTTGTCAGCCTCTTTGGAAATGTATAGAGAACAGTATGGAGAATATGCATACCGATGTTAAACGGTAAATATGATTTTGAAGTGTTAACATGTCCTAAAAGTGTTGTTTAATTTTTTAAATCGTACAATTTTGAGATTTTTCAACACAAAACTATGCAATTTTCTGGTGGTAAATTATAGTAGACAACAATTCAAGCAAGGTAAATCCACCACACGGGTCTCGTAAATGCAAGAAATTTGTAAGTTATTCGGTTTGTTTACCGAACAGTTGACGCACATGACGCGTTCTTTCCACTTACACAGGCATGACGTGTTCATCGTCCTATAACACTTTCCAGTTACAAGCAAGACGCTTACACTGTCCTGTTAGTGCTTAAATCGGGCTAGTAATAACCAATCGCGTTCGAGAATTTTGTTCTATTTTTGATTAATTCCAAGATAACATTGTCCGGATGAACTTGCCCATCCACTTTCGCTTAAGACTACAGTCTACAGGTTTTTTACTATAGGTTTCCTGATAGTTACCATTATCTGATTGGAAAAGATGGTTGAGATAAAGATTGGTTACGGTCGTATGAAAACTTGGAGGATTTTCGCTTATTTGTAGGCGGGCATGTGGAGGATGTGAAGAACAGACCGGATACTGCAATTTTCTTAGTTCAAAATAAAACCAACTGACAGGTCTAAGACTGAAGATAGAAAATACTTCTACTGGGGTTTTGATGTGCTTATAAACATTGAAAGCATTTACTCTGCATACTATGCTTTCAATGCCGGGGGGGTAAGTCACATGTGTGCGCTGTTTTTTTTCCTTTTCTCTACGAGTGAATGAAACTTATGGTTTCCAATTTATTGCCATATTTGCTGGGTTTCTGTGCGAATGAGCTGACTTTCTAAGGTATAAGAGACTAGTGTCCTGTCAGTTCGTTTCTTTTAACCCGTTATGCACCTAACATAAGTATGCACATTCTCCATACTGTTAATCTTACAATTCCTAAGGTGCTGACAAGGAGAATTTGTTTCACGATCAAGAGCTTCTTTTGTAGCTGATCATTTCCTTTATTCTTGTGGCCTTCATATGTGATTCAGGGGAGTTATTGTAAGGAGAAATTAGATGCTAGTCACTCTGAGGGTTGTAAGGGTTAATATTGCTGATGGTGCATGTAGCCATACAGCTATCGCTCTGTGCGATTTGGAAGCAACTATTAGAAGGAATGAGCTGGAGACTTCCACCGTAGTATCTTACCTTTGGGTGAAACTGAAAATAATTACAGAAAATGCTGTACCAATGGAAGATCTTAAACTGCAAAAATCAGAGTATGGAAAAAAAAACTAAGGATTGTCATGAGCCTCATGACTCGAAACCTCCATGCTTTCTCACCCAATCATTTCAAGAGAAGCTTTGTAATACTTTGTTGGAAGCTGCCCCTTCATGTGTAACTTTGTACTTTATGACGATACCCCCAGTACAAGCTGTGAATGAGGAAGAACACTTGGACCAGATCACACCTGCTAACATCGATCATGAGGAAATTGTAGAATATGCAAAAGTTTCTTCCGTTAAAGAATTAGCTGAAATAATTCTTGCTCAAAATAATTTTACAACTTTGCCAAATCCTACATATGAGCAATGTAGTAACTTTTTAGAGTTTCTACATCGTTGTAAGTTTGAAACGGAAGAAAAATTTTAGAAAACATTAGGTCAAAGTACTGGTAAACAACATTTTGGTTTCCATAGAGGGCAAGGAGGATAACAGCTCCAATTTTGAACAAAATTTGCCACATAAAAGAGATAACCAATGCCAAAATTACAGTGAAGCTGCTAATGAATAAGTGCCCCCTCGATGAGGATATAACACCCCCCAGCTTTCATGGGGTCATGAGAAGGAAGGTGTGGCTATAAAAGAGAATTTCAAGGAAAATTAAACAAAACATAAGGATTTGGACAGAGGGGTGAGTTTTTAAAGAAACTGTGATGCTGCGTCGGTGGAAGAGTATAACACGGTAATCTGGTGTTATCAACTAAGCTGAGGATGCAAAATTGGCCTCTGTATAAAAATTACAAAGCTGATGTTTCGAGCGTTATCCCTTTACTCTTAGGAGGGTTTGGAGGATTTTCAAGTGGAATGGAGGGGGGGGGGGGTCACTGGATTTTCAAGTGGAATGGAGGGGGGGGTCACTGGATTTTCAAGTGGAATGGAGGGGGGGATCACCCGTCGCGAACAGGGTGTAATAATCGTGGTTCAGATAACTCGTGTAAATTACTCCTTCATCATATAAATCACTTCGTGCTCGGAACATCACTAGAAAAAAGACTCCTTCTCTAATCGAAGAAAAAAAAATTATCCTTCAACAAAATTCACGCCATCAAACCGGTTCAAACAAGAATCTGATATAAACAAAACGCAGTGTCCTATTGCACCGATAAAGTTGTAAATGATTGAAAAAAAAATGCAAATTATCTATTATTTAAGGTCTTTTAACATGGTGGGATTGCCAAAAATACAACAAAAAAAGTTGAACATATTCTTGATTATGATTATGCCTATGCAAACCAAAAACTAAAGAAATCAAAGTGGCCAACCAGAGGACAAATATCTCAAGGAGCCAATGAGAGCTCAAAGCAAAAACAAACAAACTGCTGAAGCGCGGGAAAACGCGGGTGACCAATTTGCAAGTGGTTGTGGCTATTCATCTGATTGGCTGAGACGGTTGCACGAGCTATCGAGACCAATATATGATAAGTGTTTTTTTTTGTGATAAAAGGAAAAGAATGAGAAGACGATAAGTATTATAATGTCTGTAATAACAGGAGGGACAACCATGATAAGAAACTGAGTCTTATACTTAATCAAATCTACATGGTGACTGACAACGAATATTTAAGAGGCCGTGACTGTAAATATCGAGAATCGTTGGCCAGGCTAAAAAAAACGAAAATTCTGATAATTTGCCTAGAAAACCCTTTTAGGGAAATATATTCAAAAAATTATTTTAAAATTTGAAAAATCAAATGTGTCCGAGGAAATGGGGAAAAACGAAAACTCGGGTTTTTACTTAATTAATTATGCAAAAAATACAGTAAAATCGACCAACTTTAGTGTGCGAGTACTGAAGGAGGATGTTTGGCAAGAAATCGGGGGTGTTTTTACTTCAAATTATTATTCATTTGATTTTTATTTATGGCATTTTAAGGAGCTTTGGTTTAATTTTAAAATTCACATGATGTTTTAACGAAGTGCTGTCAAACGCTTGTTGCAAAAAGCGAAAAATCGAGCAACTTCAAGCCTTCAAAACGCGTCTTGGTATGTGTGACATCATGTCAAACTACATGCTGACACAAAGTTTGGTCCTTATACTAACACAATATGGAATAAAAAGTCTGGGTAATTTAGAAAAGTGCCTGCAAAATAAAAGAGTTTGCAACGCACTCTGGCGAAGGTCAAGAATTTGCATGATGCAAATCAGTTGTAGAAATCGTACTTGAGAGCTACGAAGTAAACAAGATAGTTAAATAATGTTTAAAAAACGAGCAGGAGTGTTTTATCGGGTTTAAAACCACGAGGCGTAGCCGAGTGGTTTTTGACCCGATAAAACACGTGCTGCGAGTTTTTTGAACGGCTTCAAAAACATTCTTGAAAAAGCGTGTGTCAAGAGAGTTCATAACAATTATGCTTTTGTGAACGTTAGAAATTAGCATACGAGAAAAACATTAGGGATTAAATTAGTATGCAAGAAAATCAAATCAAAGTCACTTCTGCCAACTGATCTTGAATTCGAAGTTTCAGATGATGTATTGTCTAATATGCCTTTACCAGATTACTGTACTAATGGAATAGAGAATTTTTCCAGATGTGTATTTCACAACTGTACTATTAATTTGGTGCAAAAGTAAATTTACTGTGTGAAATTTGTTGAAAGAACATTAAATATGTTCCCACCATTTGTTGTGTCAGTTTCTGTGTTGATAATTAATTAATATTCATAAGTCACGTGCAGTGTCTTTATATCTGATAAAACACCGCATACTAATAAGGATGAGGTTTATCGATATAAAGTCACTGCACGTGATGTATTATCTACCATTTGATAGGTTAATGGGCTTATGAATTATTAATGAGTTTTGAAAGATGGTTAAAAAACTCTTTGATATGGAAATGATATGAAACTATAGAATAAAAAATCCGCAGACATTGCTGAAGAGGGCTGTAGAAAGGTAAAAACCCGAGTTTTCGTTTTTCTCCATTTTCTCGGACACATTTGATTTTTCAAACTTCGAAATATTTTTTTTGAATATATCTCCCTAAAAGGGTTTTCCAGGCAAATTGTCAGAATTTTCGATTTTTTTAGCCTGGCCAGCGACTCTCGATATTTACAGTCATAGGCTCTTAAGTAGTTGAACTTGCGGGAGCGGGTCCCTGGAGGACGCACATGCTACTAAGTTTTACAATGTAACGCATCTTATTATAACAATGTCCTGCGGCGAAGTTTAAAAAAAACCCAGAGGGCGAGCCGTATTGTTAATCCAGAGGTCTCCCTAAACTTTACTTGTGATCACCTTGTTTCTTCTTTTACTTCGGGATCATTCGCAGTGATTTTTTAAAATGCTATTCTGCTCACTGGGAGCAAGCGAATATCGTTTAGAAAGTCTCGAAATTAAGTTTAGAAAGAAGCGATTAAACGCTTCAATTTGTTTATGCATTAAGTCTCTGCCACTCTCTGAACTACCAGAATTTCCTCAAGCCATTTCTTGTTGAATTTTCTTTGGTGTCGGAAAAGTGGATGTATCTCAAGGCTGCATGCACGTGAAGCCCCCTGAATTTTCATCCGCTAAGCTGGCCCGAAGGCGGGTGATGGCTTGTATGAGGCAAATCATTGGCTGGCTTTTGGCCGAAGTTTTCAGTAGCCTCCCCAGTTATCACGTAGTCTCATTAAAAGTAAGAGGCACTCAAGACAGTGAAACTGCAGCGATGAAGTTTTGCACGGATAACGGTTTGGTTTATCCCGTCATTGGTGATGCCGTTGTCGTTTTATAACAGTCTATTTTGCAATGACATAGAAAATACTCGTACTGTTAGTTTTTGCGATACATCAGCTTCCACATCACAATTTTTTTCAAACGACAGCGATCATACGCTACTACATAAGGCAATGAAATAATCTGAAAAAAAAAATTGAAGCAAGAAATGCTTCTTCGTCGTGGAAGTAAAATATTACATATCCGGTTCTTTCTTGTGTTCGATGTACATGGTCCTTGTGTGCAGAAATATACAAGAGCTCCTCTCTCATTGCTAAGGGGCGTCCTGAACAAAGACTTCCGCAAGGAACAAACTGAAAGAGAGTCGTCGAACCTCAGCTTCAAGAGCAGATCTAAGACTTCGAGAACTTTGGGGAAAAGAATCCGAGGCTAAAGAACCGAAATCAGTGCAGTAAAAAGAAACTTTGCAACTCCTAAAAAAAAAATAACGAAATTTCGAGTTTGTATAAAGAAAAATTGCAAGGGTAGTGTTTTTTTTAACGGAAGTGGTGGTCATCATATGAATTTTAAAATCATAATGACCTTGCCTACGCTTAAAGTAATAATTCTTTAGTTTACCGACAGCCATTACTCATTTTGGAAAATCTTGAGTCCGTTTCACGCACGAATTGTAGAAAATTCACACTCACGAATTCAAAAAGGAAACTCGTGTGCTAAGATTTTCACGAAATGAAAGTAAAAATTCACGGGTCACTTATATTTCAGGTAGCAAATCACGCCTAACGCTGATTCATAGCTTCACGTACAATAACGCTCGCCTTAAAGGAAATTTGACGTGTCACATTAATTTCGGCCCTAAACACGCATCACGTTTGCTATTATCACTTGGCTCGAAAGATTTGATGAATTAATTCATAACTTAACGTACGAATAACGCTCGCCTTAAAGGAAATTTCACGTGTCGCATTAATTTTGGCCTTAAACACGCATCACGTTTTCCATTATCATTTAGCTTGAAAGATTTAATAAATTACTTACATAACTTTACGTACGAATAACGCTCCCCCTAAAGGAAATTTCACGTATCGCATTTATTTTGGCCTTAAACACGCATTACGTTTGCCATTATCATTTGGCTTGAAAGATTAAATAAATTACTTACATAACTTTACGTACGAATAACGCTCGCCTTAAAGGAAATTTCGTGTGTCGCATTAATTTTGGCCCTAAACACGTATCACGTTTTCCATTATCATTTGGCTTGAAAGATTTAATAAATTACTTACATAACTTTACGTACGAATAACGCTCGCCTTAAAGGAAATTTCGTGTGTCGCATTAATTTTGGCCTTCATCATATATCACGTTTGCCATCATGATTAGGCTTGAAAGATTTGATAAATTACTTTGGCTCTTGCGTCGTCAGTATCTATGGTTATTCGAATTTCGTCTAAAGCATGAATACCATTTTGAATCAGAATTGCTATTGGTCAGTTGGTTAAAGAAAATTGGTAAAAATAGCTTCTTAACATAAGTCCGATGAATGTAGAAATTCTCGCAACAAATCATAAGGCTTGAGTATAAACTCAAGTACGGTGAAATTGTAGTAAATGTCAGCGGCGATTCATGTGTTTAAAAGTTGGCGTTTGTTAAAACATCCTCACTAATCATCGAGTCTCGCTGAAATCAAGTGTATTCAAGGCAGTGAGAAGACGAAAGCGATGAAATTTTGTGCGCTCATCTTTCTGGTTTATCTCGCAATTGGCGCTGTTGCTGGCAAAAAAAAAAAACTTTGCAGCCAAATATTGGACAAGTTGTCAGATCTTGAGGACCTGATTAACAAGAAACAGGACTGCTGTGTACCAGGTAAGATGTAGACGATCGTTTCTTTTGTTTTTAAGGTCACCGCTTTGTCGGTCCGTCAATTCTGAATTTTGGTTGGATCAAAAGTTGTTGTTAACATAATTTGGAATATCCACATTTATCCAGTTATGACTGATTGCCTTATAGTTTTTCTCATCTCATACCTGCAGAGCCTGTCACGCCCCCAAGTTCCTGCAAAGAAATATACGACAAAGACAGGTAAGGAACGAACGATCGTTAAATTTGTGTCTGAGCGAGGGTAGATGGCAAACAAACATATCATGAAAATCCTTTTACAAGAAAAGTGCGCAAAAGAAAACAACGTTGTAAAAAGCTAGAAAAAAAAAAAGAAAAAAAGAAAAAAAGAAAAAAGAAAAACATGCATGCATTGACTGTTCTCAGGAAAGAAAGATGAATAAATTATGTACCATTATGTCTCAGAGAGTTCCGGTTTCTATCTTGGGATTTATATTTTTCCTAATCGATACCAGGAATTGTGTGAGTGATTCAAGAGAATATAAAGTAGACTGGATTTGTTGGTTTTTTTCTCTGATATCCTGCTAGCGGGGCTCTGAGCTCCTGTTTGGCTGCACATGTAACAAGCCCTCACCCGCTGGAAATTTTAAGACGTCTCCGTCCTATTAACCCTGATTTTGCTTATCCCAATAGTATTCCCATTGACCGCAATAGCGCCAAGCCAAGAAAAAACTTCTCCGCACGTATTCTTTACGATGTCACGCTGCGCTGCTTCTTTTTTGCGTTGCGTGACATTCCAAAGAACTACCGCGTAGGATTCAAAGAACATAACACACTGATACTCTCTTATTAGTGCCAGCCCAAACAAAGCGTATGACCTCAAGCTAGGCGATAAAGATGTGTCTGTGTACTGTTCCATGAGTGGGGAGCTTGGAGACTGCGGTGGTGGGGGATGGACACTGGTCATGAAGACTGACGGTGCAAAGGTATTTCAAACATGTTCAAGGTTTCAAAACCCTACCAACTCATTGTTTTTCGAATGTAACGAATGAAAACTTTGATTCGTTTCTCTCACTCCTGTTTGTTTCCCATTGTCTCTCTTAAATCAGTGAGTGTTTTATGGAGCACATTAAAGGTCTTTGCTCAACCAGGATGCAATGCAGGCGTAGCGAACATTCTCAGTATTTTCTGTATAATAATCTACTTGCGCTTCTAATTGGCTGAAAACAAATGCATTCTCATGTAACACGAGTGCAAAGTTTAACAGGAGTGCAAATTACAAATAGCGCGTGCACGCTTTGAAAGTTCGTCTGTCTTGACTTCTGTGATGTTTTTTTTCATGTACATTATTAAAAGCAGTAACATGATTTCTCTCGCTATTTGTCGTGATAAGTACTATCAATAACAAACTGCACTCCAAATAATTTTATCATCTGTACTTACAGAAAAGGAAAATCTACCGTGTGTGTGATATTATTCGACTAACACTATTCAACCATGATCGAGAACCGGCTTTTAACACCCTCGTCTAGTTTCGTCAAGTGTCTATCGTCTATTTTTTACATATTTTTGTCGTTTCATTCCGCGTTTGCGGAAATGAAGCCATGGACAGAGGCCGTCCTGCACAATGGAAAGCCACCATATTATATGGTTTGTTAGATCAATTCTAAAAGCCTTGGGATAAGGCAAGAAAACAAACAGCGAGTCCTTTGAGGCCCTGCTAGACAGCATTTCGCAGGATAATCAAACAGAAGGCTCCTCTCGGCACTTGAAAGACCGTCAAACGGGGAACCATTTATAATCCATCGCAAGTTTAATTCCATGGAAGTTTTTGAGTAACCTTTCTCTCCCGGTTGGATAAAATTCAGAGATGCATTTCTCCAAAATTTCCTTTCATTATTCTTTTTATATTTAAGCGTATTTCTCGTTTTTATTAAAAGTGGAGTGTGACGAATTTATTCGTAGGAGGCGAAGCACTTCTTTTACGAATCCTTTCTTTGCGCCTGATGAATGACACCGGCGTTTCACTGGTACGAATAAATATTTAAGTATTCGAATGTCTCTATCTCTTTGTAATACGTTTCGACGTCAAGGATCGAGTCCCTGTTAAATCTTTTGCTTTTGTACACTTTTGTCGAGTACATAATTTCTGAGTCTGATACTTCTTCCGTGAATAGTGATTGTATCGTGGCAAGAGAATATATATTCTCTTGATCGTGGCTCAACGTAGCTCTTTGGCCGTCTTACAAATTCTTCAATTTGTCTTTGGTTCTGTTCTGCAGACCGGAAACGTCGTCCATTATGAGCGATTTAGTTTAGTTTTCAGTGTCGTAAAACCGAAACCAAAGTAATCACAACGGCCAATCAAAAGAAAAAAATATCCCGGACAGCCAATGAAAACTCATAGTAAAAACAACCAAACATGCCTAAAGCGCGGGAAAACGCAGACGACCAAAACGTGTTTAGTGTTAGTTTTACATCTGATCGGTTGAGTGGCGCGAGTTTTAATTTCTGGACCAATCACAATGCGAGGTAAAGCAAAACCAATGAAATCTCGGATTACTTTCGACATTCAGTTGAAAATTCCTCTATTAAGGCACCTGACCTGGTGAGAGATTGGCGCGAGTTTGATGGAGCACTCGTAGAGCAAAGAGAAGCGGTACTGGTGCAATCCCGGATTGCTATAGACACTAGCTTGGAAATTGCCTTTTCTCCAATGCACTGGATACTAAGTTGAAAATTTCCTTTTTCTCGCAGCACACCTTTAGTTACAATGCAAAAGCGTGGTCTTCAATGTCTTCAGTCTCTCCCGAAAATGGAGACACGGGCTTGGATCACTTGGAGACCCTGTTACCAACGTACTGGAGCACGTCCTTTACCAAGATCTGTCTCGGCATGAAGGTCGATGGAGTAACCAGGTTCTTACGAGTGAATAGGGCAGCAGCCTCACTGTATGCCCTCATTGCTGATGGTCAGTACCGCGCAACCTCGCTGGGTCGAGATGCATGGAAGGGACTGGTTGGTCCCAAAGCCTCCCTCCAGCGCAACTGTAATCGAGAAGGGTTCAATACGCAGGGGAATGCAAAATCTAATCCTAAGATGCGAATTGGTATCATCGCTAACGAGCAAAATGAATGTAATTCCCCTGATTCCAGAATTGGGTTTGGTGGATGGGGACCGATAGCCGAAGTCCCGTGTGGAAACATAGCCAGGCACGGCGGGGACAACGGAGACCAAACCATTAGAGCCTTCGGATACATCTTCGTTCAGTAAAGACACTGAACTGCTCTGCTCAAGGAAAAAGCTGCATACGACATAAAGCATGCTCTAATCTCAGTAATGGGGATTTTAAATGTGGGTTTTTGCTTTTGCTATTAAATGAAGGGAAAATAAAAGTGGGTCAATGAATCAAA